CAGGCCTAAATATGAGGAAAATGTGGGGTGTGATGGTGAGCCTGAACTAATGTAGGTGTAAACACATCATGTAGCTAACAGCAGGTAAGCCAGGACAGAGTGTGACTGATGTTATAGTACTAATTAATATTAGAATGTGTTCTTCTTACCAGTGGAGCAGACAAATGTTTTAACGGCACTGCAAAACGAGCTTTGCCATAAGCCTTTGTATACAGATGCACAATCACGTCCCTCAAAAACCTCTTCACCCCACATCCTGAACTCCTTCTCCCCAGCAGCATAATAACTGTCATCTTCCAGTGACCACTTCCAGTCGGTCATCTCGAGATGCAGTCCTGTCCATACATACATCTCAGGAGAACCTTTAGTAGTGGCCAACACCTCATTCATCTCTTCCTGGTTTTCAACTGTGGCAAGGTCAGTGTATTCCTGCCTGCAGTAACTCTGTGCTTGAATCCAGTTTAAATGTTGTTTAACCAGGATGTATTTCTGGGGAACACAGGCAGGTAGGAAACACAGTCCTGTAGTATTGAAAAAAGATCATTATATATCACCCACAACAACACATTCATTGTCAAAGTGCCAGTTTGATCATGTCCTTTGCCTGATGTGTCTCTCCATAGATTTCTGCATTGTCTTTCAATATGTTTAATGCCAGAGGAGTTGCGGAAACTTTCTTTCTATGTTGGAGAGCTGCTGATTCTAATTTAAAATATGTTTTTCTGAGTTTATTCATGAAAATCATGTCTTAAGTTTGAGAAAGGCATCTTGTTAAAACAAGTAAATTATTTCTGTTTTTATCTCGATTTAACAAGAAACTGAGCAAATGTTTTGTATCATGGTGGCAGCAATACATGTGACAAAATGCCAACATTAAATGGTACTAACCTGTTAAGGCCATGATGATAACAGCTCTCCCCTCCATGGCAATGACAGTGCTGCTGCCTTTCACGGTTCTTTCATTACACCGTAACAGAACTAAAAAAAAACAAATAAATACATTTATTGACCTTTATCAGTTGCTGTTTTTACTAAAACCATGTTCTCTGGTCCATTGGCCCTAAAAATGACTCTGTGTCGCCGTACCTGAGTGTCACATGAATGATACGTTCTTATCAAGCAAATACTGCCTGAACTGTCTCTACTGTATGTTCGAACCAGGTTTCTCACAGGAGATACGAGTATAAACATATAACTGGATGGCAATTAATGGAGAGTCAAGGCCCCATTTTAAGAACAAAATGTGGAACAGCTCTTTATGAAGAGCAAAACTACTGATTAGAATTTAAAACTGAGGTAGTGAGAGAACAATTAGGTCTTCTTTTTGCAACTGCTTTAACAACTAAAGTCAAATAAACCTCAGCGACAGCCTCAGAATATTGACGATGTTTTACACGACACACAGTGTTACACCAATAATGCACTTGTCCACCTTTCCTGCAGAAGCTCACCTCGTCAGCAGTGAACATTTTCATTGTATGTATAAATCAAATCCATTCTTTCAAAGAAGTGATGCCTTACCTTTGATGTGAGAGTGAAGCGAGCAGCAGACAGAGCAATGACAACGTCACAGTGTGGAGTGATGTTCTGCAGGTCACGCAGCCTTGAACTCTAACTTCTTTCAAGTGATTGCTTGTTTGCATTCAATGCAAAAACGATAATATGCATACTTTTTACAATATGCTATCCAGAGACGAGGAATATTCAAAATAAGTTCCAGTCTTTGTCCAGCTTGTTTCTCAGAGACTTAACTGAGCTCAGTTTAACAGCAGTGTGAGAATTCAACCATTTTGTCAAACTTCCTAAAAATATTTTTTCAGAAACAGCCTTCCTCCCAACTCAACCTCATTCCAATTTAAGATGTGAAAATGTTCTTTTAAAAAAAACAAAAAAAAGATAAAAATCAGAAATACTTTATTGATGCTCAGGAGGAAATTGCTCATGTTACAGTTGCTCCTATTCAAAGTCAGAAATATGAACAGTGCAAAATATGTAGATAAACCTAAGTAGAAAATATGTCCTTAAAGTAGAAACATAAGTAGAAACAATAAAAGCATAGATGTTGCCATAGGCAATCATTCCTCCTCATTGCCTGTGGTGTACCGCAAGGTTCAATTTTAGGTCCAATTTTATTTACTCCCCCTTATTTTTTCAGTTCAACGTCACAATGACACACAGATACACCTCCCGCTGACACTTGCTTAACCAGGAGGCCAAGCTGCTGTTTCTAACTGTCTCAGTGACAACAACCATTGAACGGCTCAAAACCTTCTTCAACTAAACAAATCTAAAACAGAAGTCTTACTTTGTAACCCTCCAAACCCACACAGTCACCACCAACAACCTCAGTCCATTATCGAGACATTTTATTTGACTCAGGCCTCAGTTTCACTCCACATATCAAAAAAAGTTATCCAGTCTTGTTTCCTCTAAATCAGAACAGTCTCTAAGATTAAACCGATGCTCTCGCACCCGGACCTGGAAAAACGTATACATGCACTCATCTTTTCTCATCTTGATTATTGTAACTCAGCCCACAGGGTGGCTCAGTGGTTAGCACTGTTGCCTCGCAGCCAGAAGATTCCCGGTTCTTGTCCCAGTGAGGACCCCCGGGATCTTTCTGCATGGAGTTTGCATGTTCTCTCCGTGCAGCGTGGGTTCTCTACGGGTTCTCTGGCTTCCTCCCACACAGTCCAAAAACATGTTGAGGTTAATTGGTGATTCTAAATTGTC